AAGACGACAAACGATTGGGCCGGCCAAAAGATGTTGTGAACGAAAAAAACACGGAAATTGCGCGTGAATTCATTAAAAAAGAGGCGAAATCATCGCTTAAATATATGGAATCGGAATTATCAGTATCCGCAGCGTCGATTTATCGTATTTTGACAGAAAATTTCAGCCTCAGAAAGGTTTGTGCTCGATTTGTCCCGCACACTTTGAAACAACACGAAAAAGACCTCAGAATCAGACAGATTTTTTGACCAAAAATCGCATTCATATCATCAACCATTCACCCTATTCGCCTGATATGGCACCCTGCGATTTTTATTTGTTCGGAAAACTATATTTGGCCAGAAAGGAAACCGCTATGCTGACGTTGATGCCATCCAAAAGGCGACGACCGCCATCCTCAACGCTGTACCAACAAATGACCTAAAAAAGTCATTCGATAACCTTCTTGAAGGCGACCAATAAATTTTTCAAAAAAAAAAAAACAAATAATATTCGTTTTTTAATGAAAGTCCTGAAACTTTTGAATTGCACCTTGTATATACATAAGTATATATATATAATTACGTTTATATGTATAAGAAGTTCAGGTATTTAGATTTTATTGTGTAAATATCTGTCTTAGTATCTAAACCATTCATAAGATACTAACAGCGCTAAGTAAATCTCGCTTTTTCACAAAAATCAGAAAAACTACCTGTTTATGGTACATACATACATATACATACACGAAGGGGAAAAAAGAGAATAGAGCAGTAAATATCCTACAAGACTATGAGCTTTGCAATTTAAAATGATGTTTTTTGTCATTGAGTTATAAAATCCAAAAGAAAAAAAAACAAATTTGCCTAAAAATTTGCAAACTTCAATTGATACAATCTTTTAATCGTTATATACCTCTTTTGAAGAGCATTCAATTTCGTACACAATACACAAAACGAAGTATGTTCCAAGTAGTTGGAAGCGAGATATGCATTTTTCTATCTGATAATGAGAACAAAATAGAAAACTGTTAGGCGGAGAACCTTCCCGTTACAATAAAAAGCTCATACTTGGAGAGACTTTCTTAAATTATTAACTTATTGAAATAAAAAGCAGAGTTTCTAAACCAAATGACTAAAACGTAAAGTTAACTGCAACCATTACTTGTTATTTATATTGGAGTAGATATTACTAGTAACCGTTACAATCTGGTTTCGCTCATACCTGGTTGTTCTTAACATTAAAAACCGTTATTAAGCTCAGATGGGGTTGTGAATCAAAGACTGTAAATATTCGCATGTGTTTGTTGCTGAGTTGAGTGAAATATTTATATTCATTTTGTACAGTCAACTTTTAGGCAGCTTGAATATTTATAAGAAAAACGCTCGAAATTTTCGTTTTCAAAATAAGTGAAGTTGATTTCCACTTTCCAATAAAATTCTAAAATTAATAGTAATAATACAATAAGTGTTTCACCTTTTTTTCAATATTTTTTAATGATTTTATTTCGAAATCAACAAAAAAAATTTACAATTTGAATAAGGTCATCATACTTTAGTATTCTTTAACATTTTTAGCCAAGAGCATATTATTAAACTTTTGTATTAACTAATTTAAACATTTGTATGTCATTTTATTAATGAGTCGATCCCGCCTTGTTGAGAATGATCTTTAAGATCTGATTGAGTGGTGAACGGTATAATTTTAGAATGTTATTTAAACAAATGATGACCAAACATTTTTAATACATTCAACTAATTCCTCTTTAGTGGAATACTATCGGCCAGTCTTGAAAACTTTGCGAGACAACCATCCCCACAGTTGTTCCAACTGATGTTCCTTCTTCCGAAGATCTTGGAAAGAATACTTGTATCCATCGGCCTTTCTAAATTAATTTGTTTTCGTCTGGAAAGACAAAATAGCCATATAATAATATCCAAGATAATAATATCCAAATATGGAGCATTTCTTAACACCCTTTAAACAGTAGATAAGCTCGCTTTAACACCAGTATTTGCCCGGATCTTGGAGGTCGATACATGAGAGTTGAAAATTGTTCTTTATTGTGACCGTTTTTTTTAGTTCGACAGTAACCCGATTTATTACGCAAGAAATTGACTTTTCGACTTCTGCCACCTTCTTTTGATATTTTAAATACTGAAAGCTGTAACTCTTCATAAGCTTCGATTATTGCTTTCTCTTCAACAATTTTCAATTTCCTTTAACCATATTAAAGATAATAGAACACCTATAGCCTTCTAGTCTAGATGTCTCATGTCTCCAATAAGATTTTTCAAAATTCAAATTATTTTCGGAGATACTTAGAAACATATATGTATGGAATCCAAACTAGTTCGGCCGGAACTAAAATTTTAAGCCCGTTTTTCTCGAAACTGTCTTTTTCAAAACGATACCCATGATTTCTCAGGTTCGACTGGACTCATTTACCTTTTTTATGGACTTGTCTATGTCGGGAACTATATAACTCAATGTTTACTATTTTTAAAAAATCAGAAACAATCAAAAACAAGTGCTACAAAATATGTTTTTTTTTCGGGAAGTCGTGAAAATTTATATTATTATTTTTGTTTGGTTTCAGATTTATAGGATGGTTGAAATCGTGGGTATGGCCACTTTCCAATTTTTTAGACCACCCACTTTATCAGCTGCTAATCTTTGAAATTTGTAACTTTTTTATTCTTTCCTGTATTCTTGTAATGTTAATAAATAACTAAAAAAAATGGATGGTAAAAATATAAACAGCATTTTTTTAAGAACACTTTTCGACTAGAAAAAACAGAAAATAGCAAAAACCGTATGTTTAGATGTGCAAAACGTCAACCGAAGTATTGGATGGACTTCATTAGGGATATGTTTTTTGGACCAAGGTCTAAACTAATTCCATTGATATGAAGCTGTGGTTTACATAATTAATAAGACAGCTTGTCCCACTAATTGCATTAAAATGTCACAAATTTTGACCAACCTAATCGGTTTATTTTCCGGTGGAAAGTCAGAAATCATTATATAGGATATATTAGGGGCAGAGAAATGGAAGGACTAATTGCATTAATTTTTGACATTGCTCAGTTATGCACGTGAAAATATTTTCAAGCAATCTATAAATATATTACCTCCCCACTGGCCGACCTATTCGGCTTATGGTTTGTAAGAATAACGAAAATCATTAGATCGCACACAAACTACAAAAGAGTTACAACTCGAAAAATGACAAATGTTTAAGAGGAACAAAAAACAGCTCCTGTAAATATTTTTACAACTTTACGGTCAAGTCCTCGTCCATAATATGAAATATCTTTTTAAAAAGCATCTTACTCAAATATTGAATTTGATTTTCCAGTTTATCAGAGAAATTAAGAGCCATTTGTGAGTTAAGACATCGATCAACAGTGCGATTAAACTCACTTTTCCACTTTTTTCAGATAAAGAGACAAAACTTCGCAGAGTAGAGCTGCTTATTTGTCGGAATGGCCAATATCGGACCACTATAGCATATAGCTGCCATACAAACTGAACAATCGGAAGCAAGTCTTTGTATGGGAAACTCTTTCAGTTGACGAGGTATCTTCACGAAATTAGATCGGAATCAAGTTATTGTAAGGAACCTTTGTATCCTTGAAGGGTATTATAGCTTCGGTGCAACCGAAGTTAATATTTTTTCTGGTTTATTTATTCAATTATTTCAAATTTATTCCAAGTTTTATTGCGTTGCGATTTCTTGCAAATCCCTTAGGACCAAAATTTTTGATAGTTCAACATTGTTCGAATCTGCAAATACATCGTTTAAAGATGAACGTACTCATAGGAACAGATTTTGAGTTCATATAACTTGCTGGTAGTCATTTGTTTTATAAAGATCTGGGGGTTTGAGATTTTCCAATTACTAAAAGTGTTAATTTCTTGTTTTCCGAAGCATTGGCGCACGCTAAAAATGTTAATTTTATTATTATTTGTTATTACCATCTCTTGCCTGCTTCACACTATCTACATTAGATGACAGCTTTTCCCCACATTCTTTAAGAAGACGTATTCTATTACTCTAGCAGGGCGGTTCGGGCAGAGAACCTGTAACAATTCCTCTATGTTACGTTCTCTTGTTCCGGTGTAACTGAACATCTGATACTCTTCAAACTTTCAAGGATCAAAGCCGGCTAAATACCTTCAGGTGTTGGCAAAACTTTATATTAAACAACTAAGGAATGGAGTAGTACTTTCAATTATACCTAACATTTTATACCTTTGCAACGTGCAATTATCAAAAACGGGGAAATACCCTCAGGTCCTGACAAAACTTCGTATTAATGTTATGAAAGCATTCAAGATTCTTTATTTGACGAAATCGTCAATAAATAACGATCAAATTTGGTCTCTTATTAAGTTATATTCTAGATCACAGAATCAATTAGTTTTATAACTATATTTTATTTCCCGTCAGCAAAAATAATATTTATTAAAATCATCCTCAACTGAGATATATATATCTGACATAAACTTAACCGAGGAGGCTACAATTAATATATTGCGTTGATGTGCAAAACGTCAAGCAGAAAACTCCAATCATGTTCAGCGCTAAGCCATTAATATAAAGTTTAAAATCAACGGAAATTATTATATGTATGTAGTATAATATATCCAATATTATCTGTTCCGTTAATTTTGCTAAGATATTTTAGAGAGATGTATACCGCAAATAGACAGGAAGTCACATATGGGATCAATTGTTCGAGCCAGAACCTTCCGGATGCTTTCTACAGTTAATATACGATTACATAAACATGTAAGGGTGTGAGGAGTTTTGTTTGAAGAAGGAAAACTCTGCAAATGGTTATGTTAAGTTGTTTGTATTAGTGCGTGCGAATATAATTTAACATATGCAGGTTTGCTAACAACTTAACTATTGATCATCAAAACAGTCCAGGCACAGAATAAATGTATAGCAGTAAATCATATTTTGAAATTGGGGTTTTATAAAAAAACCTCTCCGCCTATTTGCTTATGTACAGTGGAATGTAAGGCAGGTCGCCTCCACGCGGTGCATTCTGGGTAACGCTAAATGACCTGCGGCCTTCACGGCCTGTTAGACTACTACGGATATTTAACCCTGGAATGACATGGACTTTGCATATATGACTTTTATTGGATCTGGTTGAATCCTGGGCTGGTGGCCGAAGTATTCCGTTACTTCAGTATGTAGGGGTGACACCCTGCAGAAATGGCTGGCGGGCTAATGCTGAGGCTGCCTCCGTCCCGTTAAAACCCTGGCAGGCCTCAGAGTACGTTCCTTTCCCGTCATCATTAAGTTGGTGTGGTAGGTGCAGGTTGAGATGACTCCTCTTTACGCTGGTCGGCTCTGAACGCATAGCTTCATAAGGGCATGCGTCAACCCTCGCCTTGGCCTCGTAAATGAGATAACCTTGGGACCATCAAAAGCGACTACCTTTCTGGGAAGTGGATAGCGGCTCTGAGTGGGGACCCATGAAACATGAATACTAAAACTCAAAACAAATGGACGAGGGAGAAGGTAGGTGGGAACCAACCTATTCAAAATTAGACAATGTCTCAGGATGGCTGTCATTACCTATGCGGACGGAACCGTTCTACACAAGAGGTAATGCAAGTATCTCCACAGAAACGTGGCTACTTCCCGCAGGAGGCGGTAATTCAACGGGAGTAAACTGGAGCTTGCCCACAAGTAATCCAAGTAAAGTTAAGGTGCGAGACGAAATCGTCAGCAGGAGCAGAAGAAAATCTGCTACGACTACTAGTAGTTCGCGAACCTCAGCAAACGCTAAGGGTACTGGTAAGAAATACGTGTCAGCAGCTAGAAAGCTGAGGTCGGATCGTCGCATGGCAACTAAGATTTTACTGCGCTATGGGGGCAAAACACTGAGCAAGATTCTGAGCGATGCTAGCACACTGGAGTGGGCTAAACGGGTACTGAGCGGTGGAGAAACCAAGCGAACAGGATCGAGAGAGGCTCAGTCTGTGGTAAAGCGGCAGAGGTTGCATAAGGGGAAGATCCCTCAGCAAAAGGCACGGACAGGAGCGGCATTAACGTTTAACGAAAACGCAAAACACTTCGGTCCAATAGAACTTTGTGTTTTGACCGCAGCAGAGAAGATGGAATCATTTCCCGGGAGGAGTGGAAACGGGTAGCGGCGGCAATATCAGCGGTTTTTATGAAGGTGGTCAGTGGAAATCCTGGGCCACCGCCGACGTGTGAGAGTGCCGTTGGTACCATGGACTGCACAAGCTTATCAGATGTGCCGACGAACGGTCGGCTTCCATTTATAAGGAAGCTGTAGCCAGAGTGGGGAAATTTGGAAAGGAGCAAGAATCGAGGCGATTATTAAAACGATCTTCCACTCCGCCCTCGTGCTCGTGTCTGGCTCCCAGCTGAGCCCTCTAGTCCTGACGAAATTGAAGAGATATTGCGTTATTGCAATCCTTCTCTACCAACTCACAACTGGAGGGTGATCAGGTTAGAGAGTACTCAGAAACCATATCGGCAAGTGCTGATACTCATAAACAAGGAATCACTCGATCCTCTTAACCACGCAAAAGGAGTCATAAACTATGGTTTCGAGAAAGTTGTTCTCCAGATTCTACCGAAAGACGTCAGGACGATGATCCGCAGACTTCATATGTTTGTATGTTTGAAGAAGTTGGTGAGAATCTCGCACTTTCAGGTTTCAACTTATATTCCACATGACGACAACGTAGCCGCTTTCGCTTTTGCAAGTTCGGATGCGAACTTGAGGCGCTTGGTCTGAGAGGTCGGAGACATAATTGCTAAAGGTGAGTAATTTTTATGATTTTTATATAGTGAAGATCTATTTATTATTAAAGAGTATTCTCCATCGTCTTGATCGTATTCAAGTCTGAAAGGCCCCTGATATTAAAATGAAGGTTCTTATTGACCAGTCCTTCTAGGTATATTAGTTTTGGCTTGGACGCAGTGCGTCAAGATAGAAGACCTATATAGGAACTTTGAGTACACGAATTCCTCAATGCTCTACCCTCAGAGCGGTTGATGAGTATGTCAAGGTATTCCACTCTGTCTGAGGGTCCACTCTTGAACGTCCTATCCTCTTAAATATCAAAAAGAAACTTCGAAAGAACATGGGCACTATCGGCGAACTAGCGGTGATAGCAACGATGGGGCGCTGAATGTGCTACATATGAGTCTGCACAAAAAAACGAAGGCGTCTTCATAGATCTTTCTATTAAAGAGTTTAGTAGTAATATTTTGGGAAAATTTCTACACCGCTTCGTTTCTATTCTCCTACATGGACCATTAAAAATTCTACATTACAAAGACATTTGCAAAATCGCTATTGAAATTAAAAGTAACTTGATAGCTACAATACATAAATTAAAATTTAACCCTTGAGCCTTATGTGCTTTCTGTTGATGCTTCTTAAAAATAAAATGTTGAAAGCATTTCAAAATGATTGATAGTTGGTACAAGAATACCAATGTATATTTTAAAGCACTACCCAATCTCTTTAACTATAAAAATTCGAATTTTCAGAATGTTTAAATGATTTTTCTGTTGAAAGGTTCGTAAATAAAGTAATTTATATTCTTTAATTTTTCAGAAGAGTCTGGTAAGAGGAAGTGGTGAAATTTGCATGAACAGTAAACAAAATATTTATTAATATTAAAATCGGCGCTTCACAAGACTAATCAGCAATATATATATATACTAGAAAGTGCGGTATTTCAAAAGACTGTTTTTCCTTAGATACTTATATAGTGTCCAGAGAGCAGTTAGTAATTTGTCGGTGGTGGTGCAATTGAAGCAGATAATGTTATGGTAAATACCGAAGTAATCGGAAAAATATAATACTACTGCCGCTGAATCAAGTAATTAAATGCGAAATACTGAAGTAAAAACCACCGGACCATCTTTTGTTGAGTCATTCAAGCCTCCTGGTGGTCGAAATAGTATAAGGATTAATGAAATGAATCCATGGAATTGACATTGAGCTTGCTTTACTAGAAATACCAGCACCTTTTTTGAGGTCTCTACTTCTATTCATCAAGAACTTGGATCCGATACGACGTCTTCGAATAAGGACTAAATTTCAACGCATATGATTACAGGAAATGAAAGCTGTTGAAGGGCAAGATATTCATGCATCTTTCAGGACTATGTCTTCTGCTTTTTCTGACTTACCGTTACCTGATTCACCTATCTTTAGTGTTTATTAACAAACGGTTCCAACTTTATGAGCAATTAGTCAGACCTACATCTACAAATACAATTCAAAATTTAAATAAACAATTAAAAACTTAAAAAATATCTTATTTATTTTAACAATTTTACTTAAAAAGTAGAGATCTCTGAATGTTTGTTGTGGTATAATATTAGATGTATATCATGTACATATGTATGGTATGAATATGTCAAATGCTTTTATCTCGACTACAGAAAATATGCACACGTACATGATATATGATATGATACCACAACAAACAGTTTTAAGTGTTACAAGCGACCTATACATATATATACAAATGATCAGGATGACCAGACGAGTTGAATTCCGAGTGACAGTCTGTCCGCTCTTCTGTCCTTTCAAGCGACAACTTGAGTAAAAATTAATATATCTTGATGAAACTTCGTACACGTGTTTCTTGCCACCCAAGGGGGTTTGGTATTGCAGATGTACAGAATCAGTCCATTGCCACGCCAACAAATTGGCATTAATCGAAAACTTATAAAATGACATAACTAAGCATTAAATTAAGATATAAAATTGTAATTTGGAAAAGGGAATCACAGATGTGAGGATCATATGTGGGCTGAAGATTTCGAAAAAGTGGGCGTAGCCCCACCTCCTAATAGGTTTAATGTGCATACATATCTCCGAAACCATTCAAGTTATATCACTTGAATTTACATTGAACAAATTCGTTCGATTCTTACGACGGTGGGAAAATAATAACTAAATGCGTCAGAAACATAAAATTTTATAAACAGGATAGCCCAAGAGGGCTTTATAGGAGCCGGGATCAAAATTTGACAATGGGCTCCGAAATTTGACAACCGCTCACATACCTCCGGATCTATCCGACCAATTTCAATCCAATTTGGCACATAGGATTATTTTAACATTCCAATGCGAAAACGGGCGAAACCGAACAACAAACACGCCTACTTCCCATATAACACAACTTTAAATTCCATCCGAATATACTAATCAAGCACCAATTAATACATCGGGATAAAAATTTGCACGAATATTGTACTAATGTATGCCATATGGCCCGTAGGCCCCATATACCTATAGAACGATTTTCGAACTTCCGGCCGACTGTATACCCCATATATCGGCCGAAGTGTAAGATATCTTAATTAAATTGAGTGAGCGTAGTTTTTCCTAACAATGTATCTTTGTGCCTAAAATGGATATTATCGGGTGAAAGCTTGTCCTATCCCCATAGACTAATATCAGGATTTTCAAACATCCGGTTGAAATTAAAAGTATATAGTAATGCCTAAAATATGTAGATAAAATCGGGTGTTGGTACACCTATCTCGCATACCTATTAAAAAT